CCCAGGTACCCTATTTACTGCTAGGTGAACAGGGGCATCAGGGTGAAAGTAACTGCATATATATATTTCCGTCATCGCCGGGGGATCGAGAGTTGGAATTCCCACGCCATCGCCGGGGAACAGAGACGCGATTCGAACTCAAGAGGTCGTCAGAGATGATCAGAAGTCGTTCGAGAAATATTCGAACGTCATCAGTCATGAGTCGTGTGTTTTATGTTGACCAGACCACACACTAGAAAGTGAAGGGACGACGACGTTTCGGTCCGTCCTGGACCATTCTCAAGTCGATTGTGAGAATGGTCCTAGGTCATAAAAGTATTTGTGTGTACGTCTGATACCATACTACTTGTGTAAAGGAGGAAATGTAGATGTTTATCTCTCAGAATGTTTGGTGATATGTTTATTGTTTGTGATGTGTGTCTATGTATGTATTAACACGATGTACTGAACGGGACGACCGAAACGTCGTCGTCCCTTCACCTTCTAGTGTGTGGTCTGGTCAACATAATTTAGCCACGTTATTGTGACTCATCGCCTGCTCGTGTGTTTTATTTATAAACAGGAAGGGGGGGGGGAGGAGTTGACGGCTGAATTAACGAGCATTGGACTTTTGTTTAGAAGACGTGCAAATTTCAATAATCGTCCTACAAGAGATGCACATCTGAATACGTTCGAACACGTTTCTTCTCACCTATAATATTCGAAACTCCTCTCTTAATGTTTCCAGCCCATCCTCATCAACAAAGGGGCAAACGTTTTATCCACGCAGGCGGCATATTTATGGATGACAAATGCTTTAAACACCACTCACAACTGCAGGCGATGAGTCACAATAACGTGGCTGAAGTATGTTGACCAGACCACACACTAGAAATTGAAGGGACGACGACGTTTCGGTCCGTCCTGGACCATTCTCAAGTCGATTGTGACAATCGACTTGAGAATGGTCCAGGACGGACCGAAACGTCGTCGTCCCTTCAATTTCTAGTGTGTGGTCTGGTCAACACTCACAACTGATAACGTTTTGAACAATTCTCGAACAGTGCTTCGCTGACGACCTCTGTGTTCGAATAGCAACTCTGTAAAAGCCTCACCCCACGTACTTCAAATACAAATATTCGCCAACAGATTATGTGCCTCTGTAATCCTTTACACCACCGCCCACGGGATGGGTATGGGGTGTATAATAAAGAGAGAAATTGATTGAACCTAAACACTTAACCTACGTCTAACTATACACATAACTCTGATATATGATAATATCAATTTATACATGAAAACAAACATACTTTTAAAACACAATATGTTAAAATTGACGAATGAGTCTTGTAGGTCGGCCGCCGCTTGGACGAGCCTAGCCTAAGGACAGGTAGAAAAAATTGGCTAACAGTGTGAGGAAGAGTTGGTACGCCTGTTGCTAGTGCAGCCAACCAGACGACTTCGCTTTGATGAACTAAACGACCTCTGCTAAACGACTAAACTACAAAAGTGGACTATTGTCAAACTCAGTTATTCTTAGATAATATAATTTTCATCGTGATGTAATGGAGAAAACAAATGAAAATTATTATTACGTACCGTGCCTATGTTTAGGTTAGGATAGGTTACGTTAGGTTAAGTTAGATGGTATGGTTTGCCTACTTGACTGGGCTAGGATGGATAGGAATAAAGCGTGTCTCATGACTTAACCGCGAACTTAATTAAGTCAGGTGGCCAAAATTGCAAAATGCGGATTATCGTCCACTTGGATAATACATGTTCTGTATTGACATCTCAAAACCCTGACGGCCTAATCTTTTGATAACGGGCTACGTAGAAAATATGCTACTTATCAGAAGAGAAAAAATAGTTTTGAAGGTACACAGCTCCTCTACTCGCCCTTCTCTCTCTCTCTCTCTCTCTCTCTCTCTCTCTCTCTCTCTCTCTCTCTCTCTCTCTCTCTCTCTCTCTCTACCTCTCCCTTCCCTCTCCGTCTGAGAGAGTAGCATCTTAAATGAGGAAACCATTTGACGCGACCGTTCGACCAGGCCACTTTAACTTAACGGAGAGAGGAATTCCATTCTCACGAAATTCCTAGCGACGGAAACTCCGCTCTAAACAAATAAAAATGAACATTTATGTGTTGCTCTGCGCCTCGTGCTGGTGGCTCGGAGGACGGGGAAGAGAAGAATGGAGAGGAAGGGATGGATAACGAGGTGCTAGGAAGCGTAGGAATGGAAGGGTTGTTGATGATGAGGGAGGAGGAGGAGGAGGAGGACGATGAAGGAATTGGATGATATCATGTCATTGTATTCGACTTTCCAGCATTTAGTAATCGACTCGATTGAATACAACACTTCCACAATATTCTTCGTAGAATATTAATAAAGTGATCGACCTGCCTCGACCACCCGGCGGGATGGACTTCATTTACAACTTGAGTCTCCAGCGGCCAAAGTTGGGTCGATAACGACTTAAGTTGTGTGGCGACAGGCCGCTGGACCCACCAACTATGTCCGTAAGAGGCATAGTGGCCGCCGGGAGAGACCCGCTGACAGCGTCTCTCCCAGACACCAGGTACAACCACAGTGGCCTCTCTAAATCAGGGGGGAGAGAGAGAGTCTCTCTCTCTCTCTCTCTCTCTCTCTCTCTCTCTCTCTCTCTCTCTCTCTCTCTCTCTCTCTCTCTCTCTCTCTCTCTCTCTCTCTCTCTCTCTCTCTCTCTCTCTCTCTCTCTCTCTCTCTCACTCTCTCTCTCTCTCTCTCTCTCTGTTTTAAACCTGCTTGGCACATTAAATCTGACTGTGGACTCTCTAGCAGCCGACAGTATGGTGTTACGTCGAGCGTCAGACTGACAGAAGCGGAGGAGCCCAATTACTCCGCGTGGATGTGGGAAGTAAAGTTCGTGTAAGCAGATTACTTAACAATCCCCGACTGAAGTCAAGTTTGTCTCCTTGTGTTAAATGGAGAAGAACTGCAACTCAGTCAAACTTGTTCACTAATTCCGGAAAGATGAGATATTTTATATAAAATGTATCTAGGAGTTGGAAACTATTGGACGAGGAGGCGAGACATGTTCACAACCCGTCCTGTCGCCTCATACGTCGTATTATTTACGCATTGGTCCAATCCGTTAAAAATGAGAGGTAATAGTCAAAATTAAACCACATCTAATATTGACGTTTTCTGTGCATGCACCTGGATAGGTTAAGTGGGTTGTTTGGGCTTGTACGCTTCTGGTTAGAATAAAAAATACAGCTATTTTGCCTAACAGTCGTATTTTGTACGGAGTGGCGCCGCGAGGACTCCTTGCCACGGCTGGAGATCTATTGAATTAAGTTGACAAATCCACACACTAGAAAGTGAAGGGACGACGACGTTTCAGTCCGTCCTGGACCATTCTCAAGTCGATTGTCCATTGAATTAACTTCAATTTGAAGTGTGTGGAAAAGGTTGGTGAAGTGTGTGTGTCTCTTGAGGGACTTGAAGGACTCTTTGAGACTCGAGTCTTGAGTCAATAACACAAATATCGCAGTCCATCCTCCTGGTTAGGTAGTACCTATAGTAACGACGACCACCATCGTCCATATATTGACGTAAAAGACAATTACAAAGAGAAATCAGAAAATTTTCTGATTTTATTAGAAATTAGAAAATGATATTTTTTCACTTAAATGAAAATGTAATTTTTTTGTATTAGAAAAATTAGAAAATGGAAATTAGAAAATGGCAATTAGAATATAAATCTATTAGAAAATTAGAAATTTAGCAATTTAAATTGCAATTAGAAAATGGAAATCGGTACTATTGAATTTAGACAAATTGAAAAAGTTTTTGTACTGATGTTGCGAAGAAAACTTAACCTAACCTAACCTTCCTAGGCCTAATACACGCTATCAGAGGCCTAAATATGGTTATCGTATCTTGAGGTTATCTTGAGATGATTTCGGGGCTTAGTGTCCCCGCGGTCCGGTCCTCGACCAGGCCTCCACACCCCCTCCCCCCCTCAGGAAGCAGCCCGTAGCAGCTAACTCTGCAGGTACCTATTACTGCTAGGTAACAGGGGGGGCATCAGGGTGAAAGAAACATTTTGCCCATTTGTCTCCGCCTCCACCGGGGATCGAACCCGGAACCTCAGGACTACGAATCCGAAGCGCTGTCCACGCAGCTGTCAGGCGCCCGTGGTACCTATATATATGCTACACAAAGCCTAGGAATATTTAAGTTTGGTTTTTAGCTTTCATTTTTCAGACTCTACAGAGTGAATAGTACCCATATCTACTATCTAATTGTCCGTTTTTCTATGTATGTACGATGGTCCTCATAGTTACAAAAAGTACTATCTAAGCAGGAGGATGGGTTGATATCGACTATTTCTCCCACGATAACATGGCAGTTATTTGACCAACACCTGACACCAACACCTGACAACCGGGTGTTTAGGCAGTTGTATACGGTGTAATAACCAACGTTTTATCTCATAAATTAATTGTATTATACACTGCGGGTTTATTCATTAGCTAGGCCTAGGTAGGGTTATGAAAGGTGTTTTCGTAACGTAAATGAAGTGAATGAAGCACGACTCGAGGTATATTTTTTTATCAGAGTTAGACATCACATACTTCTGAATGATTCATTCTGAGGTTTTAAGTGACAATAAGGAACATATTATAAAAAAAATAATGTAATAAGTAGAAAAAAATGCGGTAAATCAGACGACCCGGAGTGGTTGTCAATGGCTCGTATCTCATAAGGCTTATAACGCCAATCAGCCTTCATTTGGATTGTTAAGGTACACTACAGCTTATACTGACCAATCACCAAGTATACTTTAGCCGTAAAAAATAATCAAGGATTAAAGTAAACTCAAGTGTATGCATACACAGAGAGGTGAGTTAAGCACCTCTCTGTGTGTATACCCCTCCCCCTTCACCCCCCCCCCCCCCTTCTGTGATAGCTGGTTTAGGGCGTCTGGAGCCGTACAAGGTGACGTGGATCCACTGAACTAACAAGCCCGTCAGTGTGTGGCGAGAAGTCGTCAAGGTAGGTTGTGTTCTCTTGTGATCCGTCACGGGGTCAAATTTTTGTTATATAATGTGAGAGAATAGTTTGACAGACCCGTTGTTGTAAGTTAATGTGGGGTTTTAGCGAGTGATTTTTATGTTCAACTGATGAACAACTAAATTGTTCGAGTTTCTTAAATAATTTTGCTTGTAGTAATTAAGTTTAATTCTTAAACTAGTCGGTTTGTCTTGATTCCAATATTCTGTAGTAAACGATTAAAAGCCGGATTTTCTAAAACTTTAATTCTGTTCCAGGTGCTGCGTTATGGTGCATGTGTTTAGGGTTTGATATTTTAATGCATTTAACTTGTATATATTATTTAATGTATGTCATGTGTAAGGTAAGTAAATGGGACGTTCGTCTGCCAATACTGGAAATATGTGACTATATATAACATTGTCTATTCTATTTATGTATTTAAAATGTATTTACTGTTTATTGTACCATGTATTTGTTCATATTCTTGATCTATAATTTAAGGCCTTTAATCTTCAATTTAATTTACTTTTAAATATTTATGGCCTGTTTTTTAGTAAATTTTGTTCCTAAACACGTGCACCTACACCGTCCTGTAAGTACAATTTTTCGTTTTGTGGCCCTTAAATCTTACAGTAAAAGCTTGCATTAAGCTACTAGCATTTTGCCTATAACCCGAGTCTTGGCGAGGGGTGAGAGCAGAGGACGGGGAAGGGGCCCATCGCTGGTTAAACTAAAACCCCCTCCAAGGAAGCTCTCTCCCTGACGACCCCCAGCGGTGAGGGAGAACTAACTCTCCCGACAAAGGTCTATCCCCCTACTTCCTCCCCCCCCCTCCCTAAAAATCTACCTACCCACCTAATACTCCTGGTAAGAACTTTAACTAAGCAAAGTTTGCTGGACAAATTACAAAACATTTGTTGGTCTTGGTAGCGACTAGTTGCAAACTTTATTAAAGCGTTCTGAAGACTTTCATATTAATCAGAATTATAAACCCGTTTTAGGGAAAGTCTCAAACCTGTCTTTGAGGATGCTACATGAAACCAGTCGTGGAATTCATTTGGTAAGTATACTAAAGTTGATGCTAAATTAGTCTTTCATTATTTTCAGTTATTGGTAAATATTATTGAATTGGTTGATAACTTAAATAAATCTAGTGACGTATCTTTAAAGTTTACTTAAATGCCTTATTTTAGTCCTTTTACAAGACTAATGAAAGCTAGTTAAGAGCTTCCACTAGCTGTAAATGCTTAACGGTATAATTCTTAACTCTGAGCCTCCACTGGGAAAGTGGAGGGTGAGTGGTAGTTGTGTAACAATACACAAATATTTTAATAAGAGTTGGTAAAATTCTATGCATAGGTGATGTCTTTCTGCCTCTCTAATATTTTACTTTTCTTTCCAGAGTAGAACGTGCCTGGCTGCTTCATTGCCTACGGCTCAAGACTAACCAGTGAGGATAAACTAGTTCCGCATTTTCCTCGTCGGTTCCATCTGGGCTAATCTTTTTCTACAATGGAAATTAATAAAATGCTGTTAACTCTACTTGGCTTTTTCCTGACAATTGGTGTAGGACTAAAGCATATTGCTCTATTTAACAAAGTGGCTTGCCAAATATAGACGGTAAGCACTCGATGAGACTAGATACAAAACATTATTCCCTAAAGTCTCTAATTCGACTAATTTATTCAAAAGGTACAATAGATTGATAGTATTAAATATTGGTATTTGTGTATATTCTTACAGCCACGAACATACATAGTTTAGAGCAGAAACGCTGCGAACTAGCTTCAAAGTACTTAAAACTAGTGTCGGAAAGGAATAGTACTAGTAGCACTCGTCTCGTAGTTTAGGACGAGGACTTGACGAGCTGTATGTGTAGGCCACAAATCCTGACTGTTTAAGTTGTAAACTATTACTTGGTATAATTTGCTAAACTAATCGTGCATAAATGAGCTTAGGCCTAGCACGAGACTATATTTTGTTAGGTGAAAAACTTTCTCTTCTGCAAATGAAAAATTAGGTCTGTTAATAGCAGCTCCTTACGTCAGTGATGTGGATTAGGGCTGGATCCTAATTTAAAGGTTCACCAAGGATAAGAAATGTCTATTTGGTAAAAACTAAATTACACTTTAGCATTGATAAATACTGTATTACAGATTCTTCTGTTGCACCAAAGCGAATATATCCTAAAGAGGCAAAGAACGCTAGTTTCATTTGTAGTAATAATCTGGTGGAAAGTTATCCTAGGGGAGGGAATCTGGCCTCGGTGTTTAACGGTAAATAAATGGCTAATTGAAAAGAATCTTAACTAGCAGACCTTATAACGTCTGGAGGACAAAGTAATTGATAATGTAAGGCTGTTAGTCAAGAGACACTCAAGATGGCTGGAGTCCCTATGGTGTAGTGGTTAAAATGTTCACGTGGCGTTTAGCGAACACTTTGTCCTGGGTTGATGGTGCTATATATCCTTAACGGTTTGGTTACTTGCTTTGTCCTGGGTTCGTATCCTGGCCTGGGAAGATTTACTGGGCGCAAATCCTTAACTGAAGCCTGTTTAACTAGACAGTAAAATGGTTACCTGGTTGTTACTTGGACAATCGTATTACTACTCTTATTAGAGAACGTAGCATTAAGGACTTGTCCGAAACGCTACGCGTACTAGTGGTTGTACAAGAATGTAAGAACTCGTGTATATATAAAAAAAACCGCCTGTGCTTCTGCTCAGTACTACGTACTCAAATGTTTGTATTTCCTCAATTATAAGTTATTACAAACTATTGAATAGTTAGGTCTATTTTAAGTTAAGGTTTCTTGGCAATTACTGGTATTTGCAGTACTTGGGTGAGCCAATTGGCAACCCGTCCTAAAGTTGATTACATCCAGCGGTCGACCCCTCTGACGCATTCAGAAATTTGTACATGCTCTTCATTCAAAACGGCATTTTTCTCAAATACAAATTAATATATTAGCATATTGTGCATTACCTAGGCATAAGTTAGGTTAAGTGTGTAGGTTCTGTTGGCGATTTTGTATTTAGTACGTGGGTGAAGCATTTAGTGTTGTGGTTCGAACAAAATTCGTCAATGAAGCACTTGTTCCGGAAGTGTTCGAACGTCAGCAGTTGAGCCGTTTTTCATTCATAAACAGGGGGATTGGCGGGTGCATGGAATCACTTTTGGATCTTTGTTTGGAGGACAGGTCTTGATAAACAATGGCCGAAATTCCTTCCATGCACCCGCCAAACCCCCTGTTTATGGATGAAAAACGGTTTACACACGACTCGCAACTGGTGACGTCCGAACACTTCCTGAACAAATGCTTCGCTCACAACTTTTGTTCGAACTACAGCACTGTAAATACTTCACCCACGTACTCCAGGTACATACTATCGTCAACAGAACCTAAATATTCACATTATGCTAATGTATAATAATTATTGAGTAAATAACTCTTTTGATAACAGTATGTTAAATACATGAATGCGTCTTTGGGGTCGACCGTTGGATGGAATGGACTTGGTCTAAGGACGGGCAGCATACGTGCCAACGTAACCTATAACTTTAAACTTAGTTAAGGCCTATGTACCAGAGTCTTATATATATAACCATCTGAATTTACGAGTAAATACATTACCTTTACATACATTTACGAGTCAATACACTACAGCATGTATATGTTGTATACATGCTAATTTAATTTTAATTTTGCCCCGAGGGGCGAGTTTATTGGGCAGCGCCACTCATCTTGTGAGTGGACACACCGCCATAGCAGCATGTACAACACTCCTCCAAAAGGAAGAAAACCCGCTAGGTTGTTCAAATTGAGTAATGTGTTGGTATCGACCGCTCCAGAAGCAAGTCTAGCCAGAGGATAAGTTGATGTTTCACCCCCTCCCCCGGCCCCCTACCCAAACATCCCCCCTGTCCCCTCCCTCCCCCATCCACCCCGACCCCCCCCCCCTCCCTACCCATACCCCCCCCCTTCCGCCCCCACGGCAAGTACTGTAAATACATATACTCGCCAATAGAACCTAAACACCCAACATAACCTCGGCCTAACTGTACAAGACCTTTATATATATATATATATATATATATATATATATATATATATATATATATATATATATATATATATATATATGTCGTACCTAGTAGCCAGAACTCACTTTTTGGCCTACTATGCAAGGCCCGATTTGCCTAATAAGCCAAGTTTTCATGAATTAATATATTTTCTCTAATTTTTTTCTTATGAAATGATAAAGCTACCCATTTCATTATGTATGAGGTCAATTGTTTTTTATTGGAGTTAAAATTAACGTAGATATATGACCAAACCTAACCAACCCTACCTAACCTAACCTAACCTATCTTTATAATTTAGGTTAGGTTAGGTTAGGTAGGTTAGGTAGTCGAAAAACAATTAATTCATGAAAACTTGGCTTATTAGGCAAATCGGGCCTTGCATAGTAGGCTGAGAAGTGCGTTCTGGCTACTAGGTACGACATATATATATATATATATATATATATATATATATATATATATATATATATATATATATATATATATATATATATATATATATAACAAACAACAATGCGTTACATTTGGAAAAATACTGATTGTATTTATACAGTACGTTTAAACTGGCGAATATGTCTTTGGGTGTTGGCCGCTGCTTAGACGAGCCTAGCTTGTGGACGGGTTAAATTGTTCTTCAGTGGGGTTGTATTATTATTATTATTATTATTATGATGATACATAGTGGAGGATACATAGGTAAGTAAAACACACAGAACCATGTGGGTGAAGCCATTCTACAATGGGGGTGGTCGGGGGTGATATACACATGGGTGAGGTCATTCTGCAGTCGTGGGGGAGGTCAGGGTTGAAAGGGAAATCCCCCCATACTGTACTTTCACTCTTCAAAAAGAGTGAAAGTAAGAAGCACTCCCGGATTCCTTCCCCACCACTTCCCGTTTTCTGTGGACGAGAGGGAGTTGTGAGGAGAAAGCGCCAAGCCATTACGACTATATAGCACATGGAAGGGATCAGGATAAGGATTAGGGATGGGAAGGGGGGAAGGAATGGTACCCAACCACTTCGGGTGTCGTGTTGTTTACTAAACAATGTCATCGTAAACAATGACGTGTTTTGCGAGGCTGACGTAACTGTTTACGAATAAACAGCAACGGTACACAGTATTGTTTGAACGACGGTGACATAAACAATGTTGTTTACTAAACCTCAGTAACGTGAGTATTGGCGTATAGCCAATGGTGACGTATCAGTGACGCACAGCCATTAGATACGTAATCCCAGCGGACGAGGCCATTACAGCCACAGGGGGGAGGGAAGGGATGGGGGAAGCACCCATAGTGAAAGCAGAGGTATTATGGTAAGAAAAAAAATAAGTGAAAGTTTCAGTCACAGTAGACTTTCACTTTCTTCCTCTCCATGGTCTGGCGCTTTCTACTTTTGCCTCCCCCTCGCTTTTCACCGACTCTCTCCTGCTCTCTCTATCTCGTTCGAGGTTTTCTATCAGGGCTTCGAAGTTAACAGTGTCCTTTCTGGCATAGAGAGATTGGCTATTTGTGTTAGTTCTCGCGGCTTTCTCTCACTTTCACTCGCAGTTTTCACTTTTAACTCTTTGGTCATGAGAGAACATAATATCTACAGTGGCTTTGCTGTACCTAAACTGTAATCTAACCGTTTGTATTTTTTTTTACAAATAGAATGTAAATATTATTTTTATTATACGTGTAAAATATTTACACAAAGATACACACGCTTGCGTATAAAATATACGTATTGGCAGGCATACGCACATTTCACTGTATTAATGTATAGATGTAGCTCTCTATCCCTGAAACATTCTTTGATTGTATCATTTTGCTAATTATTACTGTATTGCTGTAACACTTCATCTCGGCATTATTGTATTCCTGTAACGCTGTATCCAAGTCTGTCCTGAATCTATGACTTTCTACAGTTTATATTAATTTTTTACCGTTCTATTTTGTGTTAATGTAGTTAATATGTTAATTCATCCTATTTGGATGAAGCATGGATATATATATATATATATATATATATATATATATATATATATATATATATATATATATATATATATATATATATATATATATATTCCACCTTTGTTATACCCCTTTTATCCATTAATTTACTTTATTTCAATCGTCTCACCCTTTGTTCTTCTTCGGAGAGAAGGTAAATTTAACCTTCTGGCACGTATCTTGTAGGCCTACTGTATCTTGTAAGATCACATACAGTCTCTAAGGTCTCAGCTGTATACGTCGCTGAATGAGTTGTCGTGTATTTCATTAAGAAAATTTAACCTAGATACAATATTTTGTTCCTGTAATAAATTACGACATTCTGGTTAAAATGTTATAGTTACTATTAATTTTTCGTTTTCTGTTAAATTTCTAAGATAACAGAAAATGAAACAATTATCAGGATAGACAAGTGTAAATAGTTCTCGTTACTGAAGGTTAGGTAATGCGATGTCTTC